ACTGTACTCTGCTTCAGAAAAACCTGCCAAATCCATGGTCGTTAAGTAGTCTTGGATATTTCCTTTGAGACATTTTATAGTTCCTGCTCAATTATGTATATAGACTACGTGGAGATAATTTTCGTATGTGTTGTACACCTTTTTCCGTCTATCTGGATGCACCATTAACCCAGCATCGTTGCAAAAATGATCATCCTCTTCCTACTGAACTGTCTGGGGATCTTGCTGAGAATAAGCTGGCTGCCATTTCTGAACCGTCTGCCCTGCTGAGGCCTATCTTCACATCAAAAACTAACTATTCTGAAGGCAGGCAGTGTGTCACACAATCAAAATGTGATCCTCCCAAAAAAGTTGTTTGGGTATGTAAAGTCATTCTATGTTAATAGCTTATCAACTTTCATTTAAGAAAATGATCAGAAATCGATCAACTTATCGGTTTTTACCCTAACCCTAATGTGATTTTGATTGGAACTGCTTTGAATCTATAGATCAGCTTTGAGGAGAAAGGGCAACTCAATAGTAATGAGTCTTCTGACTCATGAACGAGCCACTTGTCCACTTATTTTGTTCTTCTTGGGCCACGGATGTAGCGCAATGGCAAAGCACTTGCTTGGCATACACAAGGCCCTGGGTTCCATCCCTAGGACCACAAGTATAAATAAATTAAAGAGACTTGTTCAGGTTCTCTTTAACTTCTCTAATTTGTGTTTTGTTGGTACCAGGAATCGTACTCAGGACTTGTGCTTACCAGGAAGGCACTATGCTGCTGAGCTATAATATCCCCAGCCCTTTTACTAATTTTACAGCTTTTAATGTACAAACCTACAACTTATTTTTTTGTCTTTCTCTCACACATGTTTATAGCTAAGTGTTTATATTTAATTCTGGAAGAGCTTCCATAGAATGCTAGAATTCACTAGAAAAACCATTTGAACTATGATTTTTCTCAGAGAGATGCTTTGTAACTATAAATACAATTTCTGCAACAGACATGAGCATGGTCAAGTTATAAGTAAGATCTGATAATTTTAAATCTTTCTAATACTGTACCCATTCCTCTAAATTGTTAAACGTATTAAGCTATTCCAAATTCCATTACTTTTTTGATTTTTTTGAAAGTCTTGCTATGTAATCCAGATTGGCCTTAAACGTTCCTGCCTCAGCCACCACACCCAGCATCCATTTTCTTCTGAATGCCTGAAAGAGAACATTGATCAATCTCTCTCACTTCTCATATTGATATTTTTTCTTTTCCTCAGCCTGAACAGAGGCTTATCAGCTTAACAGTTGTGATAAAAACATATGGTGAATGTTTAAACTTTTAAAAATTTGTTACAGTAAAAGGCACAAAGTCACTCTGAACATACTTATCCCTCTCACTCTTGTCCCATCTTCTGAAGCAGTTTCCTTCCTGTGCATCTTTGTGAGTATAAAAAAAACAGACAATGAATATTGCTGCCAAATCCCATTAATAGGCTCATTAAAACATTAAGAATGTCTTCATCCACTTATATGTGTTGTCAGCTCTTCCTCAAAGTCAAAATGCCCATGAAAGAAAAATATTTTGAATCCATTCAAGACACTGAGGCAGCCATGACCATGCAAGTAGACACTCAGGAAAGAGGACTTCCAGAGCTGCTTCAGAAAGGGGAAAGAGCCAGGCTGGTCCTGAGTTGGGGGGCAGGGGGTGGGGCACCAAGAGCTATGGGATAAATGTGTCTGAAGTGAGGAGCACTAATGGCAATGTGTCTTTTACTATATCTAGAGAACAAACATACACTGCATCTTTCAGTCATACCCAGGATCAGTCTTCTCAATGATGCATGTTTTGGTTTTCACTGATTTTTTTTCCTCTATGACTCTTCACGTTCTTTTCCATGTTGATTATTATCTTGCAAATTAATACAGGTTTGCTTTTTTCTTTGCTATTCAGAGCCATCAATTTCTCTTTCAATGACATCCATTTGAGCTTTATCTGCATTTCACAGATTTTTTATATGTTGTTTTCATTTTCATTTTGTTCAAAATAATCTGATTTTTCTCTTGATGTTTTCTTTGGCCCATGAGTTATGCAAAAGTTATTTTATTCAGCTCTCAAATATTTAGAGATTTCCCAGAAAGCTTTCTGGTATTTACTTCTAACTTAATTCCATGTGGCCAGAGCACGTACTCACATGACTCGAAGATTTCTTTAACGGACAAACATATGGCCTAACTATGTGCATTTAAAAAGAATGTGTGAGCTGGGCATAATGGTGCACACCTGTAATCCCATCCCTTAGGAGGCTGAGGCAGGAGGATCGTTGCAAGTTTGAGACCAACCTGGGCTGCAAAGTGAGCTCAAGGCTGGCCTGGACTGCACAGCAAAACCCTGTCTCAAAAAGACAAAAAAAAAGTGTTATGTTGTCGGTCAGTGGATTCTGCTATTAACAGTGGACAGCACTCCTCCCATCTACTCATTATTTACTTTTTGCCTATTTATTTTATAAATTATTGAAGAATATGAAATTTCTGACCAAAATTATGGATTTATCTGTTTCTTCAGGCTCATCACTTCAGCTTCATGTTACCAGGTACACAAAAGATCATGATGTTCCCCTGACTGAAATAGCCACTTCATCATTATGAGATAACCCTCTTTCTTTTACAGTCTTGCTCTCAAATTTACTTTGTCTAATATTAAGTATACTGACTGTCTTTCCTTCTATTAGTATAAATAGAGCATTCATTTACTGTTCCATTTATTTACTTCTAACCCATTTGTTTTTACTTTTAAAATGGGTTTCTTGTAGGCACCACTTAGCTGGATCATTCCATCAGCAGGTTCTGCATTTTGACCAAAGTATTATCTCCTCTGTTGTCATGTTAACGACACTTTTTCCTTTATTGGTTGTTTTAGGTTTTATAGATAAACATCCTCAAATTAAAACTTTATTTCTTTCTGATATTCCATATTTTCATATACTGATTGGCAAGTACACTACTCCACTGCACAAAGAAAGTGACAGAGAACACCTGATTCTCTCCTGTTTCATTTCTCCATTTCAAACAAGTATCCTTTTTAGTATTTTTTGACTCTATCAAGAATAAATATTACATTTTTATCAAATGATATTGTAGTATATATTGATACATAATTTTGAATATTTTTCTTAAATGATTAATGGTCAAGGATTTTTCTGGTACTAATGTGGCTTGGAATTGCTGATATCAACCATATTAGATCTCTGGTGCATATGTACAGTTTAAAAAATGTGTGGCTATTAACCACCAGCTAAAATCCTACTTATCAGTGCATGTGTTTGTGCGTGTATGAACACATAAACTTCTGAATAGGCCAGGCACAGTGGCTCATGCTAGTAATCTCAGGAACCTGGGCGACTGTGACAAGAAGACCACAAGTCTAAGGTTAGCTTGGACAACCTAGTGAGACTGTCTCAAAATTTAAAAAAGAAAAAATATTTTTCTGAGATAGGTGCATTATTTTGTGCTAACAGTGCCTCTTCATAAATGACTTGTCAGACAGTTGCCACCCAGTCTACTGCTATAGTTTCTACTCCTTCATAAGCACAAAGGAGTAGAATAACCAAGCAGGCAGAATTACGGTTTGTTTTGCACTAGTTCCATGTCATCAGCAGCAACTAAACAGAACATTCCCTAAAGAAAGTGGTCAAATTACTGTTTTTTTGACAGGGTCTCACTATATAGTTTTTTTGAGATAGGGTCTGACTATGTAGTTCACACTGGCCTTTAACTCACTGCTTAAGTCAGCCTGGCCTTCAACTCTTGGCAGTCCTCTGGCCTCAGACTGATGAGTGCTGCAATTACGGTGGTGTGTCACCATGCTTGGCTACTTTAAAAAACAAAGCAAAAAACCGTTCTGAGTCATGTAATTTAGCAGAGAGGGAAGATATAAAAAGGGCATATTTATTGGTTGACGATATTAGTATAACTCGAACTAAAATTATCACAGAAATAAACTAAGTACAGCTACACCTAAAACATATTAAATACTGTAAACTATAGTTAAAGCATTCCTTCTAATTGGCTCATTTCCTTATTTCCTCTTACAGGCCATGCACTATGCTACATGCAGAGGGGACACAAGAGTAAACAAGTTCTCTTCAGTAAAAACTAGTGGAGGGCTGACAAACTCGGTAAAGGATCAGGTAGTAATTTCATAGGCTTTGGAGCTACACAGTCTCTGTTTCTAATATTCACCTCACAGTAAGCAAAACTGTTGTAAGCTCAGAAAACTTTAATAATCTGTACTTATTACTCAATACACTTTATGACTCATACTTTCCCAGTAAACTTGTATAATTGCTAGTCAGGTCGCCAACTTTGTGACATATCCCCTTTGGGACCCTGTCCCAACTTCTTCGGTTCCTGTAACTGCTTGTTTCACCTCCCTGATCCCTGTAAAACTACACCAAAGTTGCCTTTTATGGAGACCCTGACCCCTTCCCTTGAGGTTTGTTGCTTTGTAACTCCCTGAAGCCCCCTCACTTGGGCACACTTCCCTGGCTGCTTTCCTGGGACAATGCTGCCCACTGAGCTCAGCTAATAAACCACTGCTTTTTAATTTTTGGAGTCCGTCATTTTTCTGCCCATATCAAAAACAAGTCATAGACAGTAGTACAAACCAAATGAGCATGGCTGTGGCAGGAGAACTTACATAACAGCAGGTGGGCTGGACATGCTGGCCACAATCTGCCAAGTCATTCTCCAGCGGAAAATAACAAACTCAACAGAAATTTCACTTTACACGACGAATGCAAGGAGAGTTGCAACAAAGCAAAGTAAAGCAAAGCAAAGCAAAGAACCCAGTCACCTGTGCTTCTGGGAGAAGGCCAGCATCCACCACAGACCTTACTGTCTCCAAATTCACTTTACAGAATGATGCAGACCTTCCGCAGGAAACGTAAAGCACTGCTCTGTATAAGTATTCTCTGCACTACTCCTCCAGATTTAATCTACAAGCACATCTGAAAACTTACCTTGAGTGACTGTTTTGAGAACAATTAGGGTTGATAAAAATCGCAATGGCAAATTCGAACTCTTAAAAAAAGCAGCTGTCTTTGGTTTATTTTCCCCGGAACGCTCTGAAGAATTATCCTGAACTCCTTTGATTACCACACCTTTAAATATGTCTTCACCCAGTCGTCGCAATGTTGATGTCATAGTTGAATGCTGCTAAACATAAGTACAATCTTAGTATATTTTTACAAGTTCAGAAAATACCTAGTTTAAATCAACTACGTGAACTAAAAGGGAGCTTTTGTTCATCAAAACAATAAATTGCAAGACTGGAATATGATAATTTGATAACTGTTAAAAAATGAAGTATGACTGTATTTTCTAAAACAGTAAGAACTGCAGATCATGCTCTATTTTCCAGCACAGAGCGGCCATGCTCAGCTAACCACTGGCAGCCAGGGGGTGAGGTACGGCTCACTGTGACCTGCACTGAGTAGCCAGCAGAGCCTCCTGCTTCCTACACTGACTCCCAGGCCCTGGTAACTCAGAACATTCAACAAGCTCAAAGCATAAAAACATTATTAGAATTCCAGAGAGTTCCCATGGAGGATAAACTGAAAGGACAAAGTCGGCAAGACAAATAATGGCATAGAGCCTCTAAAATAATATAGAACCGACCAGCTAGTCTAGCCCTGCATGCATGCAGGCTGCCATCGGAACTCTCTTATGGGTAGCCAGCGTGAGCCAGGAGAACCAGACAGCCAAGCCTTGGAGAAGCCCATCCTACACCCCACCACTTCCTGGGGAACCTGAGTTAGGAGAAACCCAGGGACCTGATCCATCCCCATATGCTGTGGACAAGTAGCTAGTGTGGGAAGCACTTGGGACCCCAAAACCCACTCATCTGTAGGAACCCAGGAAAATGTCAAGACAAAGGAGCAAAAAGCCAATCTCTGGCCTTCGGCCCAAATAGAACAAGTCCAAGAGACATGACATGGAAAAGAGCAGAAGTCGCACACCCAAAACACATAGGATGATGGCAACTGAAGTAAAAAAAAAAACTACTTCATGAGACTGTAAAAGAAATCATATCAGAAATAATATCTCAGGTAAAAAAGAAAGGAGAAACACAATAAAAGTGTTGCTGAACATATCTAAAGATATAGGTAAAAGAAAAGGCACATAGAAGAATGAGAGAAACCCTCAATGAACCATATAGAGAATTGGAATGCATGAAACAGACTCAAAGAGATATCCAGGAAATTAAAAAATCCATTGAAATCTGGCAAAATCACTTCAAAGAAACTGAAGACAGACTTTCAGACCCTGAAGGCAGGATGACAGCCAGTGTGATCACAAAAGGAAAAATTTCTCTTAAAAATAGCAAGGAACCAGGAAATAACATTTCAATAGCTGCAAGACAACACAAAGAAAAATAATTGCAGAGTGATAATTGTCAGCGAAAAAGCAGGGATGAACACAAATGACATAAAGAGACTATTTACAAAGGTAATAGCAGAAAACTTCCCAAGCATGGGGAAAGGACCTGACATGCAGATAAGTGAGGCATACAGCACTCCAATGAACCATAACCAAAATAAATCTACATCTAGACATATAATAATCAAGACCCCAGAAATTCAGCACAAGAACAGAATACTAAAGGCTGTTAGAGAAATGAAACAACTCACCTACAAAGGAAAATCCATCAGAATCACAACAGACTTCTCAACACAAACCATCAAGTCAAGAAGAGCTTGGAATATTTTAAGTACTGAAAGAAAACAACTATCAACCCAGACTGATGTACCCTGAAAAACTATCTTTCAAAACTAATAGAGAAATAAGATACTTCCATGACAAAGAACAATGAAGGAATTCATGCCATGAAACCAACTCTACTAAGAGTACTAAAGGACTTCTAGAGTTCCAGGAACAGCAATAGAATGGAATCACCAAGTAGGACAGGAAAATGAATGGAGGGAAAGTAGGGAGCAAACGGCAGGAGAAAAGTATGGCAAAGACAAACCAGTGTGTGTTAGCTGTAACGATTAATGCAGATGGCCTCAATTCACCAGTAAAAAGAAACACAGGCGGAGTGCAACAAGAAACAAGATCCATCAGTACATAATGTACAAGTAACACATTAACTTGGAAGAAAACTGACAGATTGAAAGTAAAAGGAGAGCCCAGCACAGTGGTGTATGCCTATAGTCCCAGCACTCTGGAGACTGAAGCAGGAGGATCACTACAGGTTTGAGACCTACCTGCACTACAAAGTGAGCCCAAGGCCAACCTGTAGAGAGATCCTGTCTCAAAAAAAAAAAAAAAAAAAGAACAGTCAAAGTCAAAGGAGAGAAATAATGCTCCATGTGACAGGGAACCAGAAAAAAAACAGGGGTGGTTTGCCCATCAACTGCAGAACAGGTAAGATAAGGTATTATTTTATACACTGGAAAGCCACTCAGCTATAAAGAAGGATAACCTCAAGGCTCTTAAAGGTAAATGGATGCAACTTGTGATCATGCCCTTGGGTGAAATGGCTCAGACTGACACAGATAAACACCATGCTGTCTCCCTAGTATAAAAAACTGAAGGAGTGGCTGGGAATTAGCTCAGCAGCATAAGCGCCTGCCTTGTAAGCACATGGCTGTGAGAGTTCGATCGCTGGTACCGATTTAAAAAAAAAAAACAAAAAAAAAAAACTGAAGGAGTTAGTGGGATCCAAGCTGTACATAGATATTGTGAAAGTGAAAGGGGAAGAAACATCTAAATGGGAAGCTGGTAGCCTCTATTAATTCACTATTATTTTGTTTTAAAATTCTGTATTGTTTTCATTGCTTTGTCTTGATTGGTTTTGTTCTGTTTGGTTTGATTTTATATCTGATGGCATGGACAGCTATTTTGAAGACAACAAGACACATTATGATAGCTACTCTTGATTTCCTATTATCTTGTTTTAAAGTCCTGTATCTCTTTCATGGTTTTATCTGATTTGATTTTAATGTCTGATGGTATGGGCAGCTGTTCTGAAGATAACACAGAGGCATTACAGCAGCCACCATTGATTTCCTATTACTTTGTTTTGAAGTCCTGTACTATTTTTACTGTTTTTTTTTTGATTGGCTTTATTCTATTTTGTTTGGTTTATTCTCTTAAAAAAAATAAAATAAAATGACACAGGACCACCAGGTGTAAGGACACACACACCTGTAATTTCAGCACTCAGGAGGAGGCTCACTGCAAGTTCAAGGACAGCCTGGAATACATAGCAAGATCCTGTCTCAAAAAACAAAGTAACAGAGGACCTAGAGGATATCCACCATCCACTGAGTGTCAAATGGAAGGGGAACATCTCAAATTGCAGGTCTAGAGGTAATGGAAAGCACCCTTTGTTGTGACCCAAGTCTTCAGGTCTGTTATTAAGTGTTGTGGATCTGTGACCACATGCTCTAACACAGCATGGATCCTGCAATGTGGACAAACTCTAGCTTCTAAACATGTATACCTAAAGTTAGAAATAGATCCACTGAGATTTTGTGGGTAGCCAAGGCCAACGATTGGATGAGGAAAAGCTTAAGCAGTGCACCCTAACTTAAACACACTATCAGGATCACTAGCCAAGAGCATGTGGCAAAGTCACTTCCAATGCTTCCAATTACTTTTATAGTAAGAATATTTTTATTTTAAAAACATGAATGTGGATACTACTTCTCTTTAATTGAAAAAGAGGGAAAAAAATCCCACAGAAATTGTAATTTTATTTTTGCTGAGACTTCACCAAAGGATACAGGAACCAACCTAGATTCAAAATGTCTAGTTTTCAATCTAAAACCACTCACCATACCAAGAACCAAAAGATTTCAAACTAAATTTAAAAAGACAACCAGTGGCTATCAATATTATGACAACATGTTAGAATTATTTGACAAAAAATTTAAACCCCTAATAAAATGGGCAATTATAAACACTTTAGAAAATCTCCCATAGAAACCAAGCCTTAGTGAAGAAAACAGAAGAGCCAGATGGAAAGTTCAGTGCTGGAAACACCACCAACAAAGGAGACAACTCAGTGCACAGCCTCAACAGCAGAACAGAGGAACCAGAGAAAAGAATCCACTTTCCAAAAATCAAGTGACAGGACACAGGCAGTCTGCACGACCAGGGGAAACTGGGAACTACCCATGGCAGCGACACAGCTTCAAGGAGCTGTGAGACTTCAGCCCGTAGGAAGCATGTCACCAGAGTCCCCAAAGGGAGGAAGATCAGAGAGCAAGTACTAAGCAATCTCTAAGAAATTTGCAGTACAGTTACGGGAAAAGTCACAGGATACAAAAATCTTAAAAAATCAATTCTATTTCTGAATTCTATCAATGAACACATGGACACAAAAATTTTTAAAACAGTACCAATTATAATCGCATAAAAAAACTCATCTGAAAGGTTTTTTAAAAACACAGGAATTCATGTAAAAAAACTAGACAACAGGGGTTGGGGATTTAACTCAGCGGCATAAGCGCCTGCCTTGCAAGCAGGCAGTCATGAGTTTGATCCCCAGTACCGATAAAAAGGAAAAAGACCAAAAACAACAACAACAAAAAAAAAAAAACTAGACAACAATGGTGAAAGAAATTAAAGTTTTTAACAAAGGGAGAGACAGCTTTGTGCTGATGAACTGAAGACTAACAAAGCAAAGATCTCAGTTCTCAGATGGATACAGGTTTGAAGTAATGCTAATCAAAATCTCACCAATACATGCACAGGGAAGATTACTCTCCAAGGAGAGCACATTCAAAGGGGAAATGTGTGTGTGCGCGCAACACACACGTGTGTACACTGACACTACTCGGAGCATCGCTGCAGCCCAGTTCCTCGCTGCCCTCACCTGTGCCCCTGCATCCAGCTGCCTGAGGGACCAGTAGATGAACCTGACCAGCGGCTCATGGAGCCGAGTGCTCACCAGTGGCAGACACTGCAGCTGCTCCGTCAGCACAGGCAAGAGCTGCGGATGGAAGAGGGGAAACAACAAAACAAGGCGTTTTCAGATGTCCAAAACCCACGCTCACAATGTTCTAAAGAATAACTGCAAATTGAAAGAGGTGTTCCCTAACAAACCTCCCCTAACCACAGGTAACACAACATGACAGTCCTCAAGTGCAAGTTTCTGTATGTGTTTCCTTCTATCCAGGAACAACAGCACGTGAAGAACTGAGATCAACCCACACAGAAGCTCTCAGGAGCTTCAAGGGTCAAATGAACCATCATTAAAAATAACGAATTAGGCTGGGCATAGTGGCACATGCCCGTAATTCCAGCACTTGGAAGCTGAGGCAGGAGGATTGTTCTGAGTTCAAGGCCAGTCTGGATTATATAGGAGGCCTTGCCTCTAAAAGACCATTTAAAAAAAAAATAGAGAATCCAGTTTCATAATCATCACCCTAGCTTTCTAGGATGAAAAAAGCTGGTGACAACACAGCAAGTATAATAAAGATCCCAGCTTACATAAATGTAAGTGTCAACTTGCAAAAATACTCCTTAAAAAACATAAAGCTATTAATGAGCTTTGCTTCCACCTGGAGGGCCCCAAGCCACAAGCGCAGGGCTTTAGGGCTGGGTGGGGCTTCGCTCTCTGTAGCACAAGGGCCTCAGTCTTCCTCACGCCAGACAGTTCTGCCAGTGGCCAAGACAGCATGGGGTACTCCGCCGGCCTCCTGAGGGGAAGTCTGAGGACCTCAGGACTCTGGCCAGTGGAGCCACTTGTCAGACCCCTGCTGCAGAGTGACAGGGATCAGCGTGCTGTGCAAATATGCAGTGCCTCTGGCTGGGTGCGTTTCTTCCACTCCCTCGGGTTTGAAAACTGGGCCCACCCACAAATTCTGGGAAAATCTCCCCACTTTAAGGTTAGCAACTTTAGTTCCTTTTGCCATGTAAAACAACACTGATAGGTTTCCAACATAAGGCCGTTATTCTACCTGCTACAAAAGGCATTAAAAGAGCCAGGTGTGGTAGCACACACCTATACTCTCAGCGCTTGTGAGGCTGAGGCAGGAGGATCCGTAAAAGCAGTTCAAGGTTAGCCTGGCCTGCATGGTGAGACCCTATCAACTCCTCCCCCCAAAAAAGGTATTAAAAGAAACATTGATTGGGCTGGGGATTTAGCTCAGCAGCATAAGCGCCTGCCTTGCAAGCGTGTGGTCATGAATTCGATCCCCAGTATCAATAAAAAAAAAAAAGAAAGAAAAAAGAAACACTGATTAAGATTGAAAACTGGGAATAATACTCTCAAATAAAACATTGCCCTATATTTAACAACCATGAAATCATTCCTGAAACTAGGTGAAAACAACAAACAAAAAACTTTAATGTCTTTTCTTCCAAGTTTTTCTGTGTTGGCTATGGACTCTATCAATTTTTGCTTGTTTGTTTTTGTTTTCTGTTTTTTTGGTACCCGGGATCGAAACTCACAACCTCATGCAAGTCAGTAGGTGCTTGTGCTGTTAACTGTCAATTTCTAAAGACTTTATATTAACTAGAAATCACAAGAGCAACATTCACATTAGTGCCTATAACTTGATAAATTATTTCTCTTTGATAAGGTATCAGAAGCACCTTAAAAATAGATATTTTTACCTCTTCATGCTAAAAAGACTATGTTTCATACCCTAAAATTATGTGAAAGGATTGTCCAACATCTTTTTAACTCTTTTAACATCTTTTAACAGTATTTTTAACTCTAACATACAATTAAATTATTTTACCACTTTTGGAACATGTTGCTAGTGTTTTAGTTCTAGTTTTAAAAAACAAATTAGTAAGCCAGGTGTAGTGGTGCACACTAGTAATCCCAGCACTTTGGAGGCCGAGGCAGGAGGATTGCTGCTAGCCTGAGCTGCAGAGCAAGACCCTGTCTCAAAAAAACAAAAAGACAAAAAAAAAAAAACATATTAAGGAAAAAATAGGTATGAATTAATAGAGTCCAAAATTAGTTAGTATTGACTACTGCCCAAATTTCTACTCCAAAATCTTTCATTTATAAAATCTTCCTGAAGTTTTCCCTTTAACTTTTGAGTGTCCCAAGTCATACATTTCAAATTCACAGACAAACCTTTACACACTTCTCTTGAATATCACTTCTCTGAGAAGCAGATCTGAGAAGCAGCTTTTCACCATCCACAGCACATTCCTCATGCTTCACTTTGCTAAGGTGATGGTCTGAAATCCAGTCCATGAAGACAGTTAAAAGCTCATATACCTGCCCGTTAAGTGGTACCTATGTGCCGAAATTTAAAGCAAACATTTATTTCAGTTCATGACTTAATAAAAGTTCAAAAGCTAGCCTAAAACCTGGTAAGTGATTATACAGTAATTTATTGAGAGTACTCTTAAAAACATTAAATATTAGGTAAGAAAAGGCACAAAACTGAAAGAACTTACATTAGTAAAGTAAAAAATGTTCAAGAAGTTCTTTATCCAAGATTGGTAATATCGAAAAGTAAAATTGGCTTTAACAACATTAAATCACCAAACCTAAGAGCCTAACAAATTAAAACATTTCCAAGGCTAAAGAATTACTACCACTGTCACATTTCAAACTTTTTCTTCCCCACAGCACTTATTTGCTTTGTTTTTACAATACAGCCTTCTATACACATGAAAATTCTTTCCTCAAAATTCTATTCTCTTGAGATCCCATCAAATTGAGATGGAAACACTCAAGGACAGAATGCCTAAGTAACTTATAAATGTGCCAAGAGTAATTTCAGTATTCCTTTGTAAAATTTATTACACAAAATGCAGTCATTTGGGTCACAGTAGAGTTGAGAGTCCAGGAAAAAGGGGAACACTTTCACAGAACCGGCCCAACAAACCCGCCTATTCTGGTCTATTTCCACTCAGCAAGTGATAGCAGATCTGCCCACTGCGACCTCCAGCCAGCTTCATACAGGGACTGTCAACACCTGCCAGCACTGATGGTGCCAGTGAACTTCCATTTGAAAGCAATGTGTGCAGACATCTCCATTAGGTGAGACTCCACGCTTGCCTTTGTCCTCTGGTTGCAGCAAGGGCCACTCTGGCCCAGTGCATGTCTGTCCTGGACTGCAATCTATTCTTTGTTCCCAAACAGGAAGTTTCTATTTTGGAGATGCAGCTCCAGACTGTTGCTCAATACCTTTGAAACACACTGTTGATCAATTTAATTCAATGTTTTTCATTTTTCATATATCCACCTTATGGGAATTATGTTAGATTTCATTGCTCTTTTTAAGCTATGCAAAGGTGGAGAAATATAAAAGCAAATTAATAAAAATGCAACTAAGAAGAATAAAAAAAATCAGGTGACTTAAAACAGAGTAACAGTAGTTATCATATTATCCTGACAAGAATAATTTGAAACTTCTATTTGCTTCAGATAGAAACAAAGAGAGAAAATGCTTTAGATGAAACTTCAATTACCTTGTGTACTTGAGTATATTTCCATTTGTTTTATATACAGAACTCTCTGGTAGCAAATGCCTGCAATCCCAGGTATTTGTGACAGTGAAGTAGGAGGATCACAAGTGCAAGGCAAGCCTTGCCAACTAGGGAGACCCTGTCTCAAAAAATAAAGGCCTGAGTGCTGTTCAGTGGTGTAACACTTGCATACTGTGTGTACGTCCTGGGTTCACTCCCTACTACCACAAGGGAAAAAAAAGGACTAGAGAGTTTATCCGAAGTGATCAGTGACTACAATAAGTTACTACCACGTATCCATTAAGAATCAATATCAAAAGACTAAAACACAAAACACCTGCAACCAGAACTTTCATGGTTAGATGTATCATACAGTTTGGATATAAAATGATGTGTTCTTTCCTTTCTTTTTGGTCTTTTTCCTTTTTATCGGTACCGGAAATTGAACTCACGACTGCCTGCTTGCAAGGCAGGCACTTATGCCGCTGAGCTAAATCCCCAGTCCCTAAAATGACATTTTCTTACAAACACATGTTTACCTGATCACCAAGAAATTCCTGTCCTGGAATATACAAGAAGAATGATAACATGTGCCCCAAATCCTGTGTATTTATAACAGCTGTATTCACAGGAAACAAAAACAAGAATCGTACAGGCACTGTGACCAGAAGAACTGACTGAGGAACTATGAAACATTCATACAATGGGACAGCGAGTAATACAGAGGGAACAAACTACTGACAAAACCACTATTACGCTGACAAAAGGAACCTTGGACAAATGAGCACATGCTCTACAACTCCACTGACTAAAACTACAGAACATGTGAAGCCTCTGCAGGGAACAGACCAACAGCCACTCGCCATGGACAGGGGAGCCTGCTGGGATGAGGAGAACCCTGGCTGAATGTTACCTGAGTTTCTCAACACTGATCAAACACTGACTCAAAAATATCCAGGGCTAATTCAGGGACAGACTGTAGTCTTGATAGCAAAACATCAAACAGTTGCAGAATCTCAACCACATCCAATAACCAACTGCTACGCTGTGGGGGACCTGTCCATGTCACCATGCCTGAAATATGGCAGGAATGTTCTGGAAGGTCTGAAATACTCCAGAGCTATTTCTCTGTAAAGTAATTATTATGGTGATACCTTTCATACCAAAAGGAATGTTTACTAAATGAAAGAACAAGAAAAAACCTTCTGGCTGTCCACTGGAAAGATCTATAGACATATACCTTAAAATTTTTTGAAGATGGTACTTTTTCTTGCTTTAAGCTTTTTACTTCATGAGCAGCATGGGAATTTCCTTTCAGTCTCTGAATTGTCATAAATTCATACTTCCTCTGCAATGGAACATATCCACAAATTAAAGAACAATCATAGGGAAAGTAAGCAAATTCAAAGGCAATCACGCTAAAATGCACTTACAGAAGAACAGGCAACACACCTGTAAGTTATCTAAACGGGCCTGAACTCGCTTAGCCTGAATTTCCATCTTCCTGTTTTCTTCACATACTTCATTTAACTAAAGAAGGGAAAAGTTAGCAATTTCAATGTAAAATTTAAATTCACCATATTGAGGGCTTCTCATCTCCTGCCCTCATCTGCTCTGCTTAACCATGCATGTGACAAAACAGAGGCAGCATTCAGGACTGAAACTGTCCCACTAATACATTACTAGTGGCTAAGAAAGTTTATTTTATTCTATGAAAAATACGTAAGACATCTTAAAAGTGTGAACTTTAGTGGGAAAAGACTGCAATATAATTTTTATTGAAGAATATCATATACAGATCACATCTGCAGAGCAATGAACTGTTGTTCAGACCGTGAGATGTATATAAACAATAGAAAGCACTGAAATCCTCACAATATTGAGTCTTCCCACCCATGAACATGAAACATGCCCTTCAATTGCCTTAGGTTTCCTTTATCCTCCCTCCCTTGATTTTGGCGGTAGTGGGGATTGAACCTGGAGCCTTCCTGCTGAGCTACATAAATCCTATTCCTTTCATTTTTTTATTTTGGGACTGAGTCTTTGTAAGTCACTAAACTGCCCAAGGTGAGGCTTGAACTTGTGATCCTTCTGCCTCAATCTCTCACAGTGTTAGGATTGCTTGCACTTGGGTCAGACAGAAACTAAATACAACTGAGGCCTGGCTTCACATCCTTAGAGGGTCAGTCTGCCTCTTATCTGCCTGCTCCTGAAGACAGCTCTGCTCCTGAGCATTCCCTAGAATGCCATCCCTCTGCTGTACTTTGACCATTAATCCTGGTCTCCTCAGCATGGCAAGTCTTAACACGCAATGCTTTTAAGTTACAATTACTGTTACCAAGGTATACTTACATCCAGTGCTATCATAAACTACTGTGCAAGGCAGTCACAGAAACACATCTTTCACTGAGCCATTTCAAAGTATGCACACTCATCGTAACAGAAGCTGGCAAGCCAGGCTGCAGCACAGCCCCACACAATGCTCACAGCTGCTGCGTGCTACAAAGGCAGCGCTCTGGTCCTTCCAGAGAAAGATTGCTGCTGGTCACTAACTATTCTAAACCAAGGATCCATTCACAAAAAGCATTCAGCTAGCAGAGCTATTCAGCACCAAGAAGTTTCCCCCAACTCAGTTTAGGTACACAAGCATCTAAATCCAGTTACAATGGATCCAGTCATAAATAATCTACATGTCCATGCAGACACCACTCAATCTCACAAGAACTCAAGACACTGAGATGGGAGACCACAGGATACTCAGCCCAGCTGGTAAAGGAGCCCTTCTCATAGGCAGTTTGGCAGAGATGATGATTGCAGTAGTCACAGTTTACAAGGGAAACAATTTAATACAAGACATATAATTTATAGGATTATTTTATAATATTCCCTCAAAGAGTCAAATGCAAAAGAGTGCAGGACATCTGTTCATACACTAGAGAACCAAAGAATACAGCTGAGGGCCTGGATCCCATGACAAGGTCCTGCATGAGTCTAGCTGAAGAGCTAGAGTCCACAACAATGTCTCGTGCAAGTCGGTCCCAAGGATCTGTACTGGGAAGGGCCAAAGGTCAGTGGGGAAGCCAGAAAGTCTGTACTAACGGGAAGAAGGATCGGTGCCAACAGGTTGAGGGATCTGCACTGGAGCCAAGAATCAACACCTAAGGTAAGGACCAGAGCTCCCCTGAAAAAGAAGGACAGCCATCTTCAGTGACAGCAAGGACTGGAGCTCCCTCAATAATGAAAACAGCTGAGTTTGTATCAGGAAAGCCAGCATGACAAGCTTCACTCAACACTTTAATGGCTCCTTCTTTCCCTCCAGTTCTCTTTTTATGCAACTGGCAGCAATCTTCACGTGGGCCCTCCACACCCAGCAGCAGGCTGACTCAGTCCATCTAGGTGCCCCAAGCTGATCATTAGTTTATCCACCACAGATACGGCAACAGTCATCCCTTCAGGGGAGAAGCAGGCTTCCTAAGGGACAACCTCCCCTGAAGGCCCCTCATGGGTCAGAAACAGACTCAGAGAGCCCAGGCCAGATCACAGTACTCCCCAGGCCACTCTGTCAGGTTGCAACAAAGTGTCACTCAGGAATTAAAGCAGAACAATGGGAGCAGAGCTGGCCAAGGAAGCCCAGGGGGCAAGGTCTGAGAATCTAAACCTAACTGAATTAAAATCTGTCAGTCTTGTCAGTGTTTCTAAAGAGCGACTGTGTTTACAATTTCTGACCAGAAGCATCTTCTGTTTATAATAAAATACAGTCATCACAATCACTCTCCTCCTTTTCACCCATCACATTGCTTCATTTTTTTCCCACAGAGCCAAGGAAAAAAGATGCAACCAAAACGTCTGTCATCCCATCACTCTGGAATCCTGGGCAGGAGGATGGTGAGTTCAAGGCCAGCCTGGAGCATATAGCAAGACTCAGTCTCAAAACAACAAAATTTTCTTTTCTATAACTTTAGTGATAGGTGTTGACTTAAATGATATCATTTATATAAGTGAATTATTATAGCCAATGTGATGCAACTCTCATTGAAACTATACGCAACGTAAAACCTTAAGGCTGGTAGTGTCCAGCAGAGTTGACACACAGAAAACAGATGAATGTTAAACAGGCAGTGTTAGCAGCAGTTAGGGTTTCATGTATTAAAGACAGAAATGAGTGCTAAAAGTTTCTTAGTTCTAAGGTCTTTCTTTTGTTTCTTTGTTATTTATAATGCTACAGATTTGTTATCTGTAATGTTAGAGGTTTTTTTTTTTAAGTTCTGAATGTGATGCAGTGCCTATAGTTCCAGCTATTAGGGAGACCAAGGCTGGAGGACAGAGTTCCAAAGTAGTCTAGGAAACATAATAGGACCGCTTGCCTCAAAAAATATTCACTTACTCTTGTTTGCTAATACAGAAGAAGCAGCTAGACCTTTAAGCATGTTTATATTTGCAAGTATTTTACAGTAATGCTAACAAATTCAATTAATTTTCTTTAGCTGAGATGTTCTAAAATGAGTTTTAATGTTAAATATAAAATATAATTCTTAGAAGGTCTTATAGTCCAATATGAAGTAGGATTTACCTGTTTTTTTAAGTTATCATTCAATTCTTTCAGTGCATCAAAAGACGACCTCAGTCTCTTGCTTTCTTTATTTCTTTCCTTAAGAACTTCAGTTAAGTGTTCAACTTCTGCACTGTGTTGCTAGGAGGAAAAAAAAAAAAATCTACAGGTTTAAAAATTAGATGGTGGTGCACACCTGTAATGTCAGCACTTAGGAGGCTGAAGCAGAAGGATTGCTTCGAGTTCAAGATCAGCCTGGGTTACAAAGTGAGCTCAAGGCCAGCCTGAACTACATAGTGAGACCCTGTTTCAAAAAAATAAAATAAAAATTAGATAAAGATTCCATTACTAATATTATCAAACGTAAGTTACTTAAAAAGTAGAACAGCCTCAACCACAAAAACTCTAATCAGTATATTTAAGCACAGATGACTAATGTGGCAAATAATTTACAAAATTATGTAATTAATCAAAGTAACAAGAAAACATCAATGACATCTGGGAAAAAAGCTCAGGCACATTATCATACAAATTAAGTCTACTTTTCATTTCTGCTCAGAAAAATCCACCTAAACATAGTCACTGAAGTATTTTCTACTTTACTTCAAATAATAACAACAGAACATTTCTGCTCCACTTCAAGAAGCTAATATACTATTCACAGCTTTACAGTTGAAATGGAAGTTTCACATCATCCTTGAACATTCAGAAATAGTCCACAGACAGAACTAATTAATTTATTCTCATAATGCAGCTACAAGTCTGAGGCCAGCTTTACATCTCAAACAATACTAACTACAAAACAAAAATTTCTCTGAGCTCCAAACAATTTGACTCTCAACAGGTTTCAGAAATGATTCAAACCAATTTGTCTTCTAGTTACTTTTAAATGGGACAGCATGTCAGATTTGCCATATGAATACTTACAAGTCAAGAACAAGATTAGTATGAGAGATCTGACAATCTAAGAATTGCTTCCTTAGCCTATGAAAAACTCCAATCTGAAAATGATGGCTTTATATGGTTTTATTACTATATTAAATGGTACTGTAAAAACCAGGGATATGGTTACAAATGCAGGTATTTCTAGATGTAGTTTAATAATCCTATTGTCTAATTGTTCCAGATCTAAAGATAGCAAAACTTACAATATGAGTTCCACCTCCAGCAAGGCAGGATAAACCCACTCTCCTCTAAAAACCCTACCCTGGACAAAGCCCAAAAAGTGCTCCCTTGGTGTCTGGAAGAGCAGAAAGGAGTAACAAACAGAGCTATCCTTATGGGCAACCTTGTCCGAGTTTCTCTTTTTTCCTTTTCTTGCACTGTTCCACTCCAGGATGGAGACGTGTCAGCAAAGCAGTTTGAAATCTTCCAGAGACGCTGGCAGATACAACCAGTCTTCCCTACAGGAGACCCAGAGGAGAGCCCCAGTTCTCAAGGGCAGGGACCTGCGGGAAGGCACCCAGAAAGAGCCCCTCTGCCCTAGCCGCATGGAGCAGGAAAAGCTAGGCAGAGTCCAGGTCTCAGGTTGACCTTGAGAGGTTGTGCACAAGACAATCTTGAAGGCTCTGCAGCTCATCTGGAGGACCCTGCTGCCACAGAGAGGCAGGGATGAGGGCCTCCACGCAGATGGCTGAAGAAATGGCTTCCAACAGTTAACATCTCCAGATACAAATGATACCCAAAGGTTTCAAATATAGCTGGCTATGGTGGCACACACCTGTAATCCCAGCACTCAGGAGGCTGACGCAGGAGGATTGCCAAGAGTTTAAGGCCAGCCTGGGCTACAAAGTGAGTTCAAAACCAGCTGAACTGCAGTGGGAGACCCTGTCTCAAAAAGACAAACAAACAAACAAAAGGTTTCAAATATAATCTTAAAACTGCTGGACAAATGAAATACAACAAAAACTCAAGAAAAAAGAACTGATAGACACCAATCAGAGAAGGCCAGATGCTTGGCTTCTTCCTCCATTCCATGAAGTAAATTCAGTGTGAAAACAAATATGAAGACACAAATTCTTGGGAGAAAAACAAAACAAAAACTTTTAAAGAACATAATTTAAGATTTCAGAAATTTTTCGAAGACAATAAGTCTACTAAACAGGTTCAATATCCACATGGACATGAAAAGAAACAGTGAACCTAAAGAGAGATCAATGGAAATTATCTAATCAGAAGAGAAAGATGAGAAAACAGGAACAGAACCTCAGAAATCTTTCAATAGCAAAAGTTACTGGAGATCCAGGAGAGGAGAAAGCAATTAGAGAGGAAAAAATACTTAAAGAAATGTTAGCTGAAAATTGCCCAAGTCTGACAAATAGTTAAATTTATTTTTTGATCTTTTTGAGACAGGGTCTCACTATGCAGTTCAGGCTGGCCTGGAGTTCACTTTGTAACCCAAGCTGTTCCTGAACTCACCAAGATCCTCCTGCCTCAGCCTCCCAGGTGCTGGGATTACGGGCATGTGCCACCATGCCTAGCCAAATAGTTAGATTTGGGCCTGGGGATTTAGCTCAGAGGCATAAGCGCCTGCCTTGCAAGCAGGCAGTCGTGAGTTCGATCCCTGGTACCGATAAAAACGAGAAAGACCAAAAAAAAAAACCCAAATAGTTAGATTTCTAAATTCAAGAAGCACACTGCCCTTTAATCAAACAAACCGGAGTACACACAATAGGTCATCAATGATCTGCCTGCTTGACATCCTGGCAAAGGCAGGTCACAGGGACAGACAGACCAGGGTTGCTGAAGGCGGAGGATAACTACAGAGGAGTTAGGGACACTCTTGCCCAAGAACGGTGGTGACTAAAAGCTGTGTGCAGGTTCAAAATGTACAAAAATACACAGCCAACAGAATGCCTTCCATCTTGCTTAAGTTTCAAGTACTATAACTATCTTCTGATATGAAGCACAGAGGTCTATAAATAGCACCTACATAATATCCTCCCGAAAGTATTTCAACTGAACATCGTCAGAAACCGATCAGGCCAGCCTAGTGTGCGACTTGCTTCCTAAAACTGCAGGGCCAGACTCTTCAAATAAAAACAGCGATGCTGAGCACTCTAAGTTTAAAGAAATCAAAAGATCTGCCCACCAAACATGCATGCATTTTATCTAGTTCCCTGCTCAGAAAGCAAAACAAAAAGTGGCAAAGATACCCTGGAGGCCATGCCTGGCAGAGGATGAGGCAGTGTCTCAAGTGCAGCTCTGGGCAGACAAGGGCAGCATGAGGACACCCTGCCCCGAGGACACACCTGCCACCATGGTCTCAGTCGCTTTGGCCCAGTAGGGGTTTGCAGGGCTGTGCACGGTGAGGACGATGGGTTGGAGAAATGAGTAACTGTGGCAAAATGATAAGAATTAGGGAATTTTAGGGAAAAAAGAAAATTACAACACTAAAATCAAAGGCTAGTTACCTCCTTCATAATCTGAAATCTTGTGAGAACCTCTTCCTCAACACCTTTAATTTTATTCAAGGCATCTTCGTGTCTGAAAAGCAGTTGTTCTCTCTCAGCTAAAAAGCGTTCTCGCCTCTGGAGCTCTTCAGCGAAGTTCTGCTGCGCCGTGCTCTCACACTGCACCAAAAGGCAGGTGTAAGTGTGTTAAGGACTTGAGTGCTGTCCTGCATTTTACCCAAAAGCCACCAGGTGGTTTTCAGAAACACACTTCTAGAACCCAAAGAAAGCCACGTTACAGGGTTAGACAGTGCAGCAAACAGCGTCTGCGTGAAGATATGGCACTGGCTGGCCTCGGGAGACCCAGAGCTGGGTCCCTATGCATCAGGACCATGCAGACTGAGCTCCACTCCACCTGCAGGTCCAGCACCTGCCCATGTCCTCCATCCCCTCAGCCCTGCTGTCTTTCCTTCTGCCACCCAGACTAAGGCTCAGACCACTTTCTCTGCCCCTGACAGCACATTGTACGCAGGACACTGAGGCTCACGCCCTCAATCCTCTACTGAGCTCATTTTCAACATTTTCAGTCTACTCTTTCTCCCAGATTCCCCAAGAATGTGGACAGCCACACACTGTGTGGACAATGTGGACAGCGTTCATTACTAAGCACACACTGACGTGTGCCCTGGCACAAAGGAACCTTGAAAATACCATTCTAAGAGAAAACAGCCAGCATCAAAGGCCACATAACAAAGCATTCACATGCAGCCCCTCGACAGACCAGCCCACTCTGGGGTGGAGGGGAGTCATGGAAAACAAGGAGACTGTTATGGGGAAGAGCACCTCTATGGGTGAGGATGTACTCAAAAATAGGCTGTGATGCCTCTGTGAAAACCAGCAGCACAACTCTGTGGCTATATTACAAATAATTTGATTTTACACTAAAAACTAATGAGTTGTAAGTATAAAAGTAAAAAATGAATCCTCTCTTCCTCTAGTTTTTGATCTCAACAAAATCATCAAAATTTATCCAACTGCTCTCAAATAAACTTCCATTCTGCCATCAACCGGGCCGACAGTACCCATTCAGAGCCCCAGCCCCATGCCTGCCTCAGCCTCCAGACTCTGCCCTACGAGCGGAAACCCCTCCAAGCTCCAGACTCACCTGCTGTGCAGTGCTCCAGGCCAGATACTGCATGGCCACCGTGCCCTGCGCTGAAGGTTTGGGCACAGCAGCTTCCTGCTGCCACCCCAGACACAAACAACAGGTGAAGGACAGGGACTCAAACCTCCAAAACTGTGAGCCCAAATCAATTTTGCTTTTACTTTTCTTTGGTTGGGGGAGATGTGGGTGAGAGATTAGGGTCTCCCTATGTTGCCCAGACTGGTCCTGAGCTCATGGACTCAGTGATCCTCCTAACCTCTGCCTTCCAAGCAGCTCTGACTAATGACACACAAGGCTGTGCCTGCCCAACCCTCTGTTTTTCTAAGCTGGCTGTCTCAGGTGCACTTTCTAGACAGAAACTGTGTTACACTTGCTCCTTGCTCCTTCTCTACCTGTGGTGGACACTTGATAAATATGTAAACTGCATCCTTAGAAACAAAGCCCAAAGGATCAGAAGTCAGTGTGTAGAGGTGGATGCTGGTGAGCATCAACAACGGATCTCTTCCCTGTAAGTATTTCGAACAGTGAACCCAGAGCACCTACTTCAAACAGCGCCCTTCATCAGCATGTTTGCTTACCGCCAAATGGTGGGGAGAACGAGCATAAACACAAGACGGCCTAAGCCTGCATGCATGCCCTCAAATGAAAACCCCCTTGCTTCCATGATCCCTTCAGCCAACACCAGGACCTGAGTTTGTTCCTTGCCTCGATTATCTAAATAATTAAAATGAAACAGCAGCAAAACCAAATTTTGCTGCACTTAGTAGTGTTTGGAATGTGAATCCTTCTCGATTCTCACTATATTCTGAACACAATTCTTACCTGCAGCTTCAGGTGTATCTGAAATAACTCGTCATATATTTGATTTATCTGAGGAGGAAGTAAACCCTGCTTGTGTGGCACTCTTGAGTCTGGACAGCCGGCGTGTTGCAGAAGGGAGTCTCTAGTGTCGCCATCCCACTGAGCACAAGATCCTGAGGCCATGTTTGTTGGCAGTGTGACTGTAATGGAATTTTTAAACATTCTCACACACAGCAATCTTCTGGAAGAGCTGCTGTACCGTGAATTATGGTCTTGCTAGAAAGTCTTAAGAGAGATCACTGCAGCAAAACTTGTAAAAGGGTAGTATTTAGAACACTGAGAGTACCCAGAAATTCAACGAAGTCTTTTCTGCAGATTTAAAATAATTTCAAGCTTAATTATTTTAAAGTGCATAAAACCACTGTGTGCTAACTGCTCAGACCCAGAAATGGACAGTTGCCTCAGAAGCCTTAAACTAACCACCACCAGCTGCAGCGCTAGTCACTGCTTTTCTTTCTGGTTTTTACTGTTCACATTTGAAAAGTCCTCAATTGTTTTACCTTTCTTGTATGTCTGTAATTATATACTTTCTATGACCTAGTTTTTTTTTTGTTTTTTGGTATTTTGAAATAGGGTCTGGGGCTGGGAATTTAGCTCAGTGGCCTAAGCGCCTGCCTGACAAGCCTGAGATCACGAGTTCAATCCCTGGTACCACCAAAAAAAACAGAGGGAAATAGGATCTGACTTTGTAGTTCCTTCTGGTCTGGAACTCATAACAATCCTCTAACCTCAGCCTCCAAATGCTGGCACAGCCTGTTTTAAATGCTAACATGTCTGTTGAATCTAGCCATGCTGATTCCAGGACAGGTTGGCAAACATCCCTACTCTGTCCTGTTTTACAAACAGGTGACCCCTTTCCTGACCATAGCAGCTACCATGTAGCCAAGGCTCACCACATAGGCCCAGAGGTGCTCTGGGCACATAGCTAGAGACAAAAGCACTGCTCAGCTGTACTAGTGGCACCATGGGGGGCCCACAGTGGCACACAGCAGAATGGGTTCCCCTTGGCTCATGACTCTGTGCCCTCAGGTTCAATCTGCTCAGAATAAGTGTTCAAATTGCTTTTTTTTTTTTTTTTTGTCTTTTTTGAGACGGGGTCTCGTTATGCAGTTCAGGCTGGCCTTGAGCTCACTTTGTAGCCCAGGCTGCTCTCGAACTCGAAACAATCCTTCCACCTCAGCCTCCTGAGTGCTGGGATTACAGGGGTAAGCCACCACTCCCAGGTAAGTGTTCAAATTCTTACAATGGTTCTGATTGGCACTGGCCTCTAAGGCATTTCAGAACAGAGGTGGGTAGATACTATATTCTACATCGTAGAACCTAAAGCAGCGGTAAATAAAAACATAGGGTTTTTATTTATTTGTTTTTTGAGACAGTCTCACTTTGTAGTTCAGATTAGCCTCAGTCTCAAATGAGTAGCAATCTTCCTGCCTCAGCCTCCCGAGTGCTAAGATTATAGGCATGAGCTACCATGCTTAGCTATTAAAAAAAAGTTTCACTTTTGTTTAGCAAACACCCAAAAGTGGAAGAAGACAAACCCAGTGCTTGGGTCCCTATCTAACCAGCCCCTGGCCTACACATCTGTACTTTTTAGGTCAACTTTCAAATATACTCAACTTTTTATATAGTTTATTCTGCTTTGTGTGTGAAAATTTAGCATGTAATGGAAAGTACAGATTCAGGCTGACTGGATTTTCATCAGCCTCAGATGCTGAAATCCGTGAGAAGGGGTAGGGTGATGCCACCTGGATGCAGCCAGAAACATAGGCGCTGTAGCTCAGCGCTGAGCAATGCATCCTATGCACAGTCTGGGGTCCCAAAATGCTACAGTTATTCAACTACCATCACAGCCTCACTTTCCATCCAACACCACCATGAGAAATAAGTGAAGGCATTCTAAAGTATTCGGCTGATTGTGAATGTATGCTGCTAAGTTTTGAGAATACAGGCACACAGTTGAAAGATACTCGTTTACTTTTCTCTTCCCATTCAATTTAATTTAACCTCTAGGCCGCCAGCACACAGTGTCTGGCACAGGGACGTGGCCAGAGTGAATGTTGGTCTATGCCAGGCTGGTGCCATTCCCAGAGGCACAGGGAAAAGCACCAGAACACAGATGTACACAGGTGCTGGGGACCACAGTGATTATCATGAGTCAGCTTCATAAGCTCTACTGGACAAAAGTACTACTTCAATGAATGCTTTCTTTACCTTTTTCTGTTTCTTTGAAGGACTGCTTGGTCATTTTTGAGTTATCAACTCTATGATCATTTTCAATGAACTCTTCCTCTATTTCCTGTTTCTTCAAACCATGAAAAGATTCCAGTTCACCATCTAGGCTTTAAAAAAAAAATTCTATCACAAAAATGTAGAGGTTTACTATAGCATTTGAAAAACATGAAACTGCTTTTCAAATAATAGCATAACAAATTAGGAGAACTTTACCTGTAAACACTTTTAAAAGACATCAAACTTGTTAGTTGTTACCAGAACATTTTTCGCACATTACAGAAAAGTATGCAGTGAAACTATACATCTGAACAGCAGCTGCCACGTTCTTTGGATGCCCAGCAATTCAGTGAGACAGACGTAACAGGAACTGTTGTCCACACTTCCAGCTGAAGAATTTATGAGGGAACTGAGCCCAAGGAAGTCAATGGGAAGGCGACAAAAGCAGGGAAAGAGGGCACAATGACAACCAACATGCAGTGTCTCCCCATGAGCGATCACCTCACAGAAAATCTGTAGAGCAGCCCTGCTCAAAGGACTGTAATTCAAGCTGCACAGGTAATTTAAAATTTTCCAGTAGCACATAAAAACATAACAGAGAGGAGCTGGGGATTTAGCTTAGTGGCATAAGCATCTGCCTTGCAAGTGTATGGTCATGAGTTCGATCCCCGGTACTGATAAAAAAGAAAAAGACAAAAAAAAAAAAAAAAAAAAAAAAAACCCACAGGCATAACTTTAACAATGTATTTAACCCTATAGTCTAAAATGTTACTATTTCAACAGATAATGTTGCAAAAGATATACACAGATATTTATGTTCTCTCAACCTGCTAAGTCTGCAGCTCCTCCATGCAGACCAGCCCCTCTAGTACACGAGGCCTGGTGCTCTTGTGCCACGCTGACTATTGGGAGCCGCTGAGCTACTGATCTTTCCCAAATGCAGAGCTGAAAGCACAAATGCACAAACAGCAGCACACCAAGAACACTGAGCACCTGAGAAATGCCGTAAGGGCATTGGATGCTGGAGGTAAATAGGTATTCCAGCCCAAGAACCACAGGGCAGAAGAAGCAAGCTAGTTAAGCAAAGTGGCATCATGGGCTCTGCCTGACCCCAGTTACCTGTCTCTCTATTTTCTTCATCCTCTCATTGGTCTACACACACACACACACACACACACACACACACACACATACACAGAACCCAGGAACTCAGAGAGCTCTCACAACTGTGATATATGGCGCCCAAACATGGACTGGGGTAAGTAGCAGACAATAGATACTTCTCAATGACGGACAGAAGTGATGCTGAGTTCATCAGGTATAAAATGAGGGAACAGAGAGAAAAAAACGGGTCCCCTAGTGCCAGAAAGAGAGAAGCAGGCTCACTAAGACTAGAGAAGTACATTGATAGTAAATTCATCAAATGTAAAATTTAGGAAGAGGGAGAAAAGAACCTGCCAGAGAGAAAAAATGGGTCCACTAAGACCAGAGAGAAAAGAAGGTGTATTGAATTTTACACGTTTTTTTTTTTTTTTTTTTTTTTTTGGTCTTTTTCCTTTTTTATCGGTACCGGGGATCAAACTCACGACTGCCTGCTTGCAAGGCAGGCGCTTATGCCGCTGAGCTAAATCCCCAGCTCCTCTCTGTTATGTTTTTATGTGCTACTGGAAAATTTTAAATTACCTGTGCAGCTTGAATTACAGTCCTTTGAGCAGGGCTGCTCTACAGATTTTCTGTGAGGTGATCGCTCATGGGGAGACACTGCATGTTTTAAAACACGTTTTAAAACATGGGAAAACACATGCTTACGAACCAACCAATGTACATGGTACTGATTGCTGTATTTCTGATTCCTGTATTTACTTTACTTTTGTGGATTTGTTTTGGAAAGTGTTTTTCTGGTCACATGACCACAAAGAAATGGATCAGAGCACTACTTTAAAGCCAGGTCCTAAAGGAAGGGAGATGGCAGAACAGTTGCCCTCCTACAAGAACGGAGTCTGATTTTATTCAGTCAGATGGGGAAGGAGTGGTGGAGGACAGGAGAGTCTTCCTCACCAAAGGAACAGCTCATAGTGAATTTTATTTTATAGTACCTGATAAATTTAGTTCAGCCACAAGCAGAGATTTTTGCCTTTTTGGCTCAGATAATTTTTGTTGCACCACAATGAAAATTTATTTTCTCAAGGAGTTGGGATGTTTTCTCTCTTTCTTACAATTATCATTAAAAGAAGCTATAGCAAAGGATATGTTGATAGGTGAGGGTGCTATTGCTGCCACAAATCACTGACTTTTGAATTGCAAGTCTATGAGCAGAATAAAATAACTGCCACAAGGCTTGGAGGGAACTTCCCTCAAAGGGTGAGACATCCTTTGATCTGACCTCCATTCCTCAGGGTCTTAATGGACCTTTCTAGCATTTTGCAACACACTTGCTGTAGGTTAGTTGTACAGCTATACAGAGGCTAATAAGCTGATGGTTCCAAAGTCAGAATTTAAAAATACAAATAAATGGTGTCAAGAGGTTGATAAGGCCCAGAGGAAACGGACCACACTGGCTGACATGATTCAACATGTGCTGACATTGGCCCCTCGATTGGGGGCGGGGACAGGGGTAGGAGGTTTGCCTTCTCAGCAGTTATTGCTCGGATTATTCATCCACAGCCTGGAAGAGGGGGAGGAAACAAGGTTCCTTGTTTCAGATATGGAGGCAGAGAGCATTTTGCCCAAACCTGCTCTGCTGCACCCATTCCTCTAACAAAACCTAGTGTTTGAATAAGGTGTACATGAGAGTATCATTGGATAAACCAGTGCAAATTTAAAACTAATGTGGATGGTCGACCTATTTTGGGAAACTTCCAGCAGAGCTCCCCTCAGCCCTGCCAAACAGTGGGAATGCTTTCCCTAATTCCTCCCCAACCTTACCTTCCAGTGTCAAGCAGGCCCCTGACCTCTGATGAATGATAAAAGACAGCAAAGGCTGGGACCTTAGCTCCTACTCCAGAATAATTAACTCCTGAAATGGGGCTCCACATTATTCCTACAGGAACCTTTGGATCTTTGCCTCTTGAAACAGTGGGTCTCCTGCTAGACTGAAGCAGTCTCATTTTAAAAGGTCTCCAGGTGTTGTCTAATGTCATCGATGATGTCTATACTAGGGAAATCAAGGTGATGCTTCAATCCATTCAGAACACTGTTTAGGTCACGTGAAACTCTCATATTGCTCAAGTGGTCATTCTTTCCTTATTGTAAATTGGAAAAATTTACAAACAGGTAAAGGGGACTGTCTTGGTTACTTTTCTCTCATTGCTGAGACAAAATACCTGATGCCCAAAATGAAGGAAGGAAAGGTTTATTTAGCTTACAGTTTGTGGAGGTTTCAGTCCATACTCAGCTGGCTCCAAGAAAAGGTGGAGTGGCATAGGGGCAACCATAAATGATGGCTGCAGCAGATACCAAAAGCAACAAGAGCAGAAGGAGCAAGTTGTTTTTCCTCCCTTTTACTGTATGCAAGCTACCTGCCCTGGGGTGGGAACAGCATTCACACCGCCAATCCCCGCACTAGACAATAAACAAATCACAAGCTCAAGATTCAGCCGCCTCTATGACTGCATGAGGGTTTAGGGGACATTCAGGCATAAATCATAACATGGATGCAAGGGTTTTGAGTGATCTGATATATATTAGGTTCAATAACAGTGGTTATGGCAAGTCTCACCCTTTTGGCAAACCTCAATAGCAAACTTCCCTGGAGTTTTGTTTTTTTTTTGTCTTTTTCCTTTTTATCGGTACCAGGGATTGAACTCACGACTGTCTGCTTGCAAGATTGAAAGATTTTCATACAGGACAATGGAAGGGACCTAGCCCCCTACTCACCTGGGGTACAGGGTATGACTATTTTTCCAGAAAATGCTGAATGGTCTATCTGGGTGCCGCAGTGTGCTGTCCAGTTGTATTGTGTACACAGATCCGGTGAAGAAATTGATCCTACCAGTCCAAAAGCTGCTAACAGTGATGCCCAGAGACCGTGCCACAATGGATAGACAAGAATGGGTCTGGGTCTGACCTGGGGCTGATTAAAGGAACTGACCCAGAACATGCAGGAGATGGTAACCAAAAATAGGACCTGACGTCTAAGTAAGGTAATAAAGTGTATACAGATAAGTGAACAAGAGCAATGTGTAATAAAGGGATGTGACAGAAAGTTATTGGTGGTAATAAGAAAAAATAAAATATAAAAATACATATTAACTCTAGATAAAAGCCTTAAGTGATCTCAGCTAGCTGACATATAACAAAATCTGAACAGTTTATTCATAGTTATAAATTTCTAAAATTCCTCATTAGTATAGTGGTGAGAAAAAAAATAATTTCTAAAATTGTAAAAATGATATAGCTTAATTCAGTTAAAAATATATTTGAGTGCACTCTGATGTTGTCAGTCTGCTTGTGTTTCTGTTTGTCTATTTGTAAAGTTGTGTGTAGCTTTGTCTGTTTGTCATATCCATAAACAGCTGGGTTTTTTTTTTAATACAACATTCAATTTATAATTGGATTACATCCTAGCTTGTTTATACACTTTTTATCTATAATACACACAGCCCATGTGGTCAGCACTGTATCACACACATTTTGCAGGGTCCATTTCCCCAACTATACAACATGTAGGCCTTAAGCACTCAGACATACAAGAGATACCAGGCTTAATGCCACTGCCCAAAAAGCCTGTATGCAGTTCTTTTTTCTTTTTAATAAAAGCGAGTAGGGCCTTCACTTCAAGTCCTTGATAAATAACTATAAAAATTTAATACATGGTCTCCATTATTTGGCAGGCTCCACCGCACTTCTATTTTCTCTCAAGAAAAAGCAAACATGCAAACATCTGCCCTTTTCCCTTTCTCAGTCTCTTTAGACACTGAGGGAAGCGTAACAAAGAGAACTCAGGATACTTTACCGATGCACATCCAAATGTTTGAATGAACTGCATAAAGGCATCACACAATGCTTCCTTTCCTTAGAGTAGTATCTCACTGATGGACTGACTTTATCTCCAGAGCAATAGATATCCACATCATCTGAAGGAAAAAGGTGACACACTGATGTAAGACACAGATATCTTACTTTAGCCTCATGCAGGTGACTGCAAAATTGCTGAAATGTTTCTACCCTCAGATCTCCCTAAAGTAAGCTTACAGAAAACAGTATCAAATCTCCCATTTATATAGCACTTCAATGACTATAAAATGCTTCTTCACTTCCTTGAATGGTCCTAGCAACCACCTGTCAAGGACAGTAAGCAGCACTGATGCCTTTAACCTTGTCCCAACAGAGTAGGAACTTAAAACTTAGAGAACCAAAGTGAATATGTTCCAAGTAATACAAATAGCACAGTAGACATACTACTTGGAAATTCACAATCCAATCTAAATGTCACAATCCAGTCTTTCCTCCTAATACATACCTCACTGGTCCTCAGATGTCTGTTTAATACACAGACAGTATGTCCGAATGGGGCAAATAAAAGGGAAACTTCCTTCACAAAAAACACAGATATTCTGTTAATATGACTCTTCCTCTGACAGTCACCCCCTCAGAAATTTAAGGGCTCCATTTAATAGTTTTGGCTTGTTGGTTTTTTTAAACTAAATTTCAGGACAAACTTCAAACTAACATATAATTTTTAATATAATATTTTTCTAATTCAACAATATCTGGAATTCTTTTTTGTGCTTGAGGAATGTTTCAGAATATTTTTCCAATCAACTCATTTTGATTAGAAATAAAATAGATCTTTTGATGCAATCATAGTAGTACAATCCACCAAAGCAAGTATCAATAAATGATTTATATTTCACAAAAACTCAAAATGAAATACACAGAAAACAATGAAATAATCTAATCAACAACCTGGTAAACTTTAAAAATAATTACTTCTGGAAGGCTGAGGCAGGAGGATAGTAAGTTCAAGCCCAGCATGGACAACTTAGTGAAATTCTGTCTCAAACGGGATGCAATTTGTGAGAAGGCCCTGGGTTCAGTTCCGAGTATCACCAAAATGAATGAATGAGTGAATAAATAACAAAACTGTTTCTGTTGCAAATCTCCCATAGTTTAATGATCATTAGTAATAATAAACCAGCAGACTAATGGTTAACACATACTTCACTACAGTTATGTACCACAGTTGCACATTACTTGATTTCAGCCCACCCAAAACCATAGTATAATAACCTTTTCCAAATGTTTGATATATTCCTTCTCCATTGTAGTTACTATCTCAGTAAATCAGAAAAGTTCACGCCTAAAAAATAGCAATGAGTTTTCTTTATCGAATATAATCAGTTTAGTTTTTTTCGGATTCAAAGGCAGACATATTGTAAATGAAAATACCAAAAAATTTTTAAAATCTCATTCAGTTAATTCTTAAAGACATGTTATTTATCCTAGACATCATAGTTATCATTAGTCCACTCCCAGATTGGAAGAGCCCTAGTATCACAAGATATCTAGCACAACTTTTAAGTCCAAACAACATCTACAAAACTCTTCAATCCGTTTACACACTCAAATTATATAAAATATTCTACTGGCTTACCTGGGTAGGTCAGAGATCTTCTCTTATACTGAGCCTGATCAAAATCTGAAAAGTCATACTAAAAAAAAAAATGCAATTTATACAGTGAGAATGAGTTTACTGTCTCAAAATATCCTTAACAAATCGTGGTCATTACCAAGGTGAACCTGCACAGGTTACCGTGGAGAACCCTAGCGGTCACCCTAAGCAGCCGCTGTTCCTGAGCTTGGGCCAGCATACACTCGCTCCGGGCCGTTCCCACCACGGCAGCAGGGCAAGTTCCCAGGCGTCCTGGCCCCTGGCCTCCGGCTTTCGAAAGCTCAGGGCGGAGAGGACAAAGGCGGGCAGGATGGGCAGCGCACCTGCTCCGCATCTGGCATGCGGGGAAGCGAGACTCCAGGATGCAGAGTCACAGGCCCGGCGTCCCCGCGAGATGCATTCACGCGGGGCCACTGCAGGACCCACGACGGGCGCCGAGCGTGCCCAAACCCGAGCCCTCAAAACCATGAGGAAACCGAACGACAGCGCAGCGACTAGTCTGACAGAGGCGCGAAGACACTGCCACGCTCCTCAAAAGGGGGTCACAGATCGGCTGGCTCGCCGGCCTCACCTCTCCGGCGCCGCTGCTCCCAAGCCCGTAGCGGCTCTTCAGACGCTCCACTAGCAAATCTTGCCCAGGCGGCTTAACAACACGCGGCTCCATTTTCACCGTGGTTTGGTCGTCTCCCCGGGAACCGCTTTCAAACCGGCGCGGGGAAGGGCAACGTCGTGACGCAAAGCCCTCCCCCCCCCTTCCCCGTATGCTGGGCGGGGCGAGGTGAAGCGAGACTCTCCACACGCGGTGAAACATGGCCCCGCCTTCCAGAGGGAAAACGACGTGGGCGGGGCTCTCAAGACTACAGGGCTTAGTGACCCATCAAATCCCACCCCCGGTGGCGGTACTTTGGACTTGCTGGCGGGGTCGCAAGGCACAGGTGCGGTGAGAACCTTAAGCTCCAAGGGAAAGCAACAGGAGTCACCTACCACCTGATCATGCTCAATGCTCCTGGTGCTGGGAGTATTTTGAGTATACGACGGATGACTGTGATCACTGGTAATACATTTCCGATAGAAGCTGACGGAGCAGGCTCAGAATATATCTGCACTTGCTGAAACACGTGTCTTCACCACAGGTGGGATGTCCTACTGAGACCACAGCCCAGCCCCAAAGACCAGGCAGGGAAACATCCTGTCTTCCCCACCTGAGCACAAACTTCCTTTTAAAAAAACCTAAAAACGGACAGTAAGCAGCAGTGAGTGAAAGCAATGGCTGTAAACTGTGATTGTCCAGTGCATATGGATTTTTTTCTTTTTATAAACAAGGTCTGGCTATGTAGCCCAGCCTCACAGGGATCCTCCTGCCACCCAACAGTGCTGGGAATATAGGCATGGGCCACCACGCCTGTCCGTCTGGGTTATTTTTAACGCTGGAATTGCAGATCAACTCAGGAAATTACTATCTAAAACTGAAAACCATGGGGCCGGGAATACTGCTCAAAGGCATAAGGACCTGCCCGGTAAGTACAAGGTCCTGAGTTCAATCCCCAGTACCAAAAAATAATTAAACTACTTTTATCCATAAAGTATTACTTAAGAATGCATAGAGTTTAAGGAGATTTTAATAAGACAATATGAAATCCAGCCAGTTTCAAAGAAAGCACGTATCAACATGGGTTTATAGTAGCATACAGAAGTTACGGTTCTTTCTTGACATGTGACACGAGGCGTTTTTATATATGCCTGGAGCCCCTTCTGAACATCTTTGGGATATTAATACTGGAAAGTCAGTTTACATTTAATTTTGTCAAATTCTTGGTAGAGTTTTTAAAGCTTTTGAGTTCATAACTAAAGCTTTACTAGGATAGCATGAAATCTACAAAGTCTCTTGAAAAGCATATGCATTTACTTATTAAATTCATGATAATGACATCAGTAGTCTCAGGTGAAAATTCACAATATACTTTTTACATCAATTACGCAAGTTTTCAAAGAACTCAGTTCTAAATATTAAATGTGCATATGTAATCCACAGTTCTCTGAAATTCAAGTAATGCATGTAACAAGGTAGGTTTTTTTGCAGCAATGGCCCTGCCTCATCACACTGGGCACTGAACTGGTGCTGTACTCAGTAACACTGTATGTCCTATTTCCAAATCACCACTTGAGGGAGTAAACTTTACCGACTCTCCTCACTGGACAAAAGGTATTTGCACTGGGAAGAACACAGAAGGTAACAAGGAGTTAATATTCATGAGTAGAATATACAAGTGCACACATCAGCTAGACTCTGAAATTTCACAGAGTAAAAAAATCACCTTTATCAGTCTGCCTAACTTTTATCAGTTTACTACTTCCAAATGTTTTCAGTGTGTATCAACCTGTGCAGATCACCTGGCAGTTTAATTTTGCTGACTTCTAACTGTTCTTACTAGAATGAACAGACAACTAGATGCATAAGTAACAAACTTTTAAATGTCATGGCAGTTATCAATTGTCACTTTATTTCTGCTACAAAATTCACCAGAAAAAAGTACTGCAACAATCTAATATAAAGCAAATCTTTAACCAAAGAACATGGTATAGATCTTTTTAAAAATATCCATACTTTATCACAATAACTGCAAGGAAAATTTAAATTCTATCATCAGGACCAAGCTGAAGTTTCTGAGGTAGTAGAGACAGATAACAAAAAAAGTTAGAGGGGGAAAAAATCCACAAAACTAAGGAAAAGTCAACCAGTTTTAAAAGCTATCTTCCAAGGGTACTAGAAGCTACATATTTTAAGCAAAAAGGTACTGCACAATCTGAATTATACAGGAGGTGTAAAGATTATACAGAAGAGCACTTTGGTTAACTCTACCTTCTGTGGCTCTCGCCACTCATAAGCGAGCCTGTGCATGTAACAAGCATATCAATAGTTAAGATCACCAATATACGCATTTCAGATCTAAAATTAAATAATCTGAGTTGTGGTCCCTATATTCAAATTGTTAGTGTATCCATGCAGGAAGTTCAGACACTTTAAAAGGAATTAAAAATTAAATTGCATATATCATATTCCTTCAATAGTTTGTGAAGGTCTATTGCTTTTAACAAGATTATTCCATTTTAAAATAGATATGTCAGGAGTACATAGACACAAGTATACCTGAAATACATCAGTGTTTAAGCTTTTATTTCACACCATGCAAGGTCAATTGTAACACATTAAAAAGTGACAACAGCTATAAGCTGCAATTTTACATTTATACATTGGAAACTTCCATTTTCCAAAGCTGAACACAATTACCATATTGTCTGTAACAGGTAAGCTTCAATTTGACTGCTTATTCAGATGAAATTTACTATGAAAAACAATGATTCTATAGCTGTCCACATTCTGTAATACTAATTCTTCGACTAACAGAACCTTTGGGAGAACCAAATGATTCAATCTTTTTCACAGTATCCATACCATCCTTAACAAACCCAAATACTACATGTTTAAAGTCCAAATGTTCTGCCTTTTTCAGTGTTATAAAAAACTGAGAATTATTTGTATCTCGGCCTCGATTGGCCATAGACAATAAGCCAGGGCCAGTATGCTTCACATTAAAGTTTTCATCTTCAAATTTATCTCCATAAATGGATTTTCCTCCTGTTCCATCATGTTTGGTGATATCTCCTCCCTGAAAAAAAATTTTTTTTTCAATTAATAGCAGTCCTGAATAATACATTAAAATACACACTGAAATCATCATGTTAGGATAGATCCTAAATACCTAGCTTCCTGAAAAATGCCATCTGGAGGACAAAATGCAATTTGAAAGATACTTTTGGGGCTGGGGTTAGCTCAGCGGCATAAGTGCCTGCCTTACAAGCAGGCAGTCGTGAGTTCGATCCCTGGTACCGATAAAAAAGAAAAAGACAAAAAAAAAGATACTTGTGAAAAAGGGCAGTGATGGTAGCATGTGCCTGTATTCAGTCCTTGGGAGGCTGAGACAGGAGGATCACTGTGAGTTCAAGGCCTGCCTGAGTTACATAGTGAATTCAAGGCCTGCCTGAACTACACAGCAAAACCTTGTCTCAAAAAATAAATAAAAAAATATAAAACATAAAAAAAATGGTCTTTCTCTACCTTCAGTTTCTGACAGGTCCTATCACATATTAGAGTACAGACCCTTTTGGTATAAAAGTTTAGGACAAGAGTAGGAAGTTAAGTGGTGGTGCCAACCATTGAGCAGGAAGGCTAAAGAAGTCCTGACAACTGTGGGGTAGAGTCAAGAAGAAATGCTCCAATTTCCCGGGTCAGTATAGCATACTCTTTGAGAACTTCTACTGTGATCATTAATACTTACTTGACAAACAAAATCTGGAATTACTCTGTGAAAAATGGAGTTTTTGAAACCAAAGCCTTTCTCTCCAGTGCACAGAGCTCTGAAGTTCTCAGCAGTCTGAGGAACGATGTTTGAAAATAATTCCATGGTTACCCTGCCTAGAGGTTCCCCATCCGCACAAACATCAAAGAACACGACAGGATTGGTCTCCTTTGACAATTCTGCTGCCAGTGACACTTGTCCTTTCTGAAGTTTCAATAAATTCTGCTGACATTCTTCAAACTTTTTCTTAAAACATTCAGCCATTTCTTTTGTTTTAAACCTCACTGCAAGCTGTTCTACTTTTGCTTCACCATCTATTGAAAGAAAAAAAATGGCCTTAATATTAAAATAACTGATAAATTGTGTTACATTTGTCAATGCCTTTAGAAAAGTCATATGAATGGAAAGCAACAGCACCAACAGGTAGCCACTCACCTGCATAATCCGAGGCAGTCCAAACTAGAGCGTTATTCGAAACATTTAAGGGTTTTAACTCCATTGTCTTAGTAATAACATGGTTTGCACACACTTTGAAGACCTGGTCTCTTCTCATCAGGATCCGGTAATAATTCTTCATTGTGTGCCACAGAATCTTAATATCTCCAACACCACGCTCTTTCCACTGACTGACTTCTCGATCCCATCGATAAAGTTTGGCTCGCTCTTTAAATAAAATTTCTTCATCTTCTTCTCCAGATTTTACTTCTACCTATAAACAGATGATTACTGATAACTGATACTTGTAATAAATTCCTCCATATCTAAATTCTCTAACATATTTTCTTTGTAATGACATTAACAGATTTTTTACTTTTTTTTTTTTTTTTTGGTACCAGGAATCTAACTCAGGATCTTGTGCTTGCCAGGCAGGTATTATGCCGCTGAACTATAGCCCCAGCCAATCAGATTTTTCTGTATGAAAAAGGGCAGGATCCTAAGAGTGGGAATACACCTGATTTGGTGGAGGTAGTGAAGACCTAATTTATCTTTACATGGTTTGCCAGTATGTAGCGTCTACTCTCCTCTTAGAAAGTAAATACCTTCTGGGGGCTGGGGATTTAGCTCAGCAGCATAAGCACCTGCCTTGCAGGCATGCAGTCATGAGTTCAATCCCTGCTACCAAAAAAAAAAAAAAAAAAAAGAAGAAGAAACAAATTAAATGACTTCCTTTCTAAGTCCGAAGTTTCAAAAAATGCTGGTTCTTGAAAAGGTAGATTAAATAGTGACAGAATGAAAAAATAATTTTTGTGAAAAAACATTTTTATCCTAAAAAAAGTAAAGCTTTTTATTGAACAGCCTTTCGCCAAGTATGAAAACTTATACTGGTCCTCAAAATTATGAAAATAAACATGGTATTTTAACATATGAAAAATTATTTCTTCCCAACAAATAACAGAATAAAATAAAAATTATTTATTTCTTCCCTTTGGTACAGGAGAGTACCAAACTTTTACAACAGGGCTGAGGTGTAGCTCAGTGTGACAGTCCCTATTCGTCATGCGTACAGACCTCAACTTCAGCCCTTCTGCAATACACACACAGGCTGGACTTGTAACAAGAAATTTTGAAATGAACAATACTCCTACATAACAAGTAAGGCTAAATTTTAAACTTCAACTGAAAAATATGCTATGAGTGAACTTTCGTCTCCTGACATTTACCTCCGGCAATGACACTATTGGTTCGAAATGGATATCTTCACTATGAACTACTTCTTCATCACTGCCGTCTTCATCTTCACCAACTTTACGGCCTGACTGTGTTCCGAACACAGCTGCTCCAGTATTCGCCCACTGGAAATTCTTATCTGTTAAATAATTAGGATATTTAAACAATGGAATCTAGTTTTACTAATTGTTTATGCAGCTTTTATCAATGAATCTAATCAACAATGTGATACAATATACATTAAAAATGTTCAAAATAATATTGTGACAACTTCAATTCCTGCATAAAGGAATAAAGCCAACTACAGAAGATTTATAGTTTTAAATACTATTTCTAACCATCAAACAAAATAAGTTAATCTGAAGCAAAATAAAAAAAAACTGTTCTGATGAAAAGCCAAACACACAAATTTCTGTCAAACCTTAACAACAAAGTATTAAA